AGCATGCATTTGTATAGCCCCGCTGCCACTATTCCTCCTCTGAGAAACTGGTCGGGGGCTGGGGGGGGTGGAGCGTGATGAGGTCGGGGTGCTATGTTATGCCCACTCATTTTCATTCCTGATCTGATGGAACAAACACAAACACAAGCTTCATGAGTCATATTCTGTCAAATTAGGGTAATGTCCATTATCCCTACACTCCATTCTTTGCTGCTCAGGTTATTTTCTAGCCAGGTTGATAATCTGCCTCCAGTTCTAAGAGCTAGAATGTTAGATAGCAGTCTCTAATGAGAGAATTTAACAAATACCTCTGGAAATCCAGATAAATAACACCCACCAGATATTCGCCTTTCCATTATTTTATCTACCTCTTCAAAACATTCAATTATATTTGTTAGACATAACGTAGCCTTTACAGGATTATATTGCTCTCTCTCTAAACAGCTGAAAGTTTCCAAGATCTTCAATTACCAAAGCCAAATTTCTCTTTCTTATCTTCCTTAGGTAGCATAATGACATATACAATTTCCAATCTAAAACAACAGATCCTGAACTGAGAGAACTTTCGGACAATATGGTTAGGACATTTGTAATCTTCAGGGATTTGTCACTCACTGTTATTTTGTTTGATGAGTCATTGACCCTGAAGCAATATTAGTTTCCTTAGGATGTCAGGCTAGCTGACCTCTTCCTCTACTGTAAATACTGACACAACGTGCCTGATATTTCCCCATTTTAGACTATAAGACTATAAGATATAGCAGCAGAATTAGGCCATTCAACCCATTGAGTCTGCTCCGCCATTTGATCATGGCTGATTGGTTTCTCAACCCCACTCTTCTGCCTTCTCCACATAAGCCTTGAACGCCTTACCAATCAAGAACCTATCTATTTCTGTCTTAAATATACTCGATGACGTGGCCTCCACAGCCTTCTCTGGCAATGAGTTCGACAGATTAACCACCCTCTGGCTGAAGAAATTCCTCCTCATCTCAGTTCTAAAGGGTTGTCCCTTAACTCTGAGACTGTGCCCCCAGGTCTTAGTTTCTCCTACTGGTGGAAACATCTTCTCTATGTCCACTCGATCCAATCCTCTCAGTATTCTGTAAGTTTCAGTCAGATCCCCCCTCATCCTTCTAAACTCCATCGAGTACAGACCCAGAGTTGTCACCTACTCCTCATATAATCCCCAGCATCATTCTTGGACTCCTCCAACCAGCACATCTTTCCTTAGATAAGGGGCTCAAAACTGCTTGCAATATTCCAAATGCAGTCTGACCAGAGCCTTATGCAGCCTTAGTAGTACATCACTGCTCTTGTATTCTGGTCAACATTCTGAGCCTCAGAGCCAGTCAGTGGCACCAAGACTGGCTCTGAGGCTCAGAGGGAAAGGGTGTAGTCAGACAGAGTGATACTGATAGGAGACTCAATTGTGAGGGGACAGACAGGAGATTCTGTGGCCACAGAAAAGACACCAGGATGGTGTGTTGCCTCCCAGGTACCAGGGTCAAGGATGTCTCTGAGCGGTTGCAGAACATTCTCAAGGGGGAGGGTGAACAGCCAGAGGTCATTGTGCACAGCAGTACAAATGACAGAGGGAGAAAAAGGAATGGGGTCCTGTGAAATGAGTATAGGGAGTTAAGTTAAAAAGCAGGACCTCAAGGGTAGTGGTCTCCAGATTACTCCCTGTGCCACGTGCCAGTGAGGATAGAAATAGAAAGATAGGCCAGATGAATGCATGGCTGAGCAGCTGGAGTAGGGGGCAGGGTTTTCAGTTCTTGGATCATTGGGATCTCTTCTGGGGAAGAGGTGACCTGTACAAGTGGGACGGGTTGCATTTGAACCAGAGGGGCTCAAATATCCTTGCATGGAGATTTGCTAGTGTTACCCAGGAGAGTTTAAATTAGTTTGGCAGGGGATGGAACTCTGAATAAGAGAGGGGCCATTGAGAAGTCAGGGGAAAATACATTAGCTATCGAGAGCAAGTTTACTATTCAGGATAGCCAAGAGCACAGTAAAGGGAAGGAAAAGACTACTGGTTTAAAGTGCATTTATTTCAATGCATGAGGCCTGACTGCTAAGGTAGATGAGCTCAGAGCATGGATAGGCTCCAGGGCCTGGGATATTATAGCCATAACAGAAACATGGCAGAGAGAAGGGCAGGATTGGCAGCTCAATGTTCCAGGATACAAAAGCTACAGGCATGACAGAAGTACAGGTAAGCGAGGAGGGCGAGTTGCCCTTTTGATAAGGGAGGACAACAGTACTTAGAGAGGATATTCTTAAGGGGTCATCAAATGAGGCCATATAGTTAGAACTTAGAAACAAGAAGAGGATGATCATTCTGTTGGGACTGTATTATAGAGTCCTAAATAGCCAATGGGTTCTAGAGAAGCAGATGTGTAGAGAGATTGCAGATACCTGTAGGAATAATGGAATGGTATTGGTTGGAGATTTTAATTTCCCTTGTATTGACTGGGCCACCCAGAGTGTAAAAGGCCCGGAAGGGGTGGAATTTGTCAAATGTATCTAAGAAAGTTTCCTAAATCAATATGTAGAGGGCCCCATTGGGAGGGTGCAACACTGGACCTTTTCTTGGGAAAGGAGGCTGGGCAAGTGACTAAAGTGTCAGTCGGAGAGCACTTTGGGTTCAGTGACAATAACATGGTTATGGAAAAACATAGAACAGGTCCACAGGTTAAAGGTGCTAAACTGGAGCAGGGGCAATTTTGGGGCCATTAGGCAGGATCGAGCAGCGGTCAATTGGGTGAGTCTGTTTGAAGGGAAAGGAATGACTGGCAAATGGGAAGCTTTTAAAAGTGTGATATGAAGAGTCCAGGGACAGTGTGTCCCTGTCAGGGTGAAGGGAAAAGGTGGCAGGTTTAGGGATCCCTGGCTGAAGAAGGATATTAAGGCTCTGGTCAGGAAAAACAAGAAGACAAAAATTGGATTTAAGCCATCGGGCTTAAGTGAATCCCTAGATGACTATAAAAAGTGTAGGAGCACACTTAAGAGCGATATCAGAAGAGCAAAAAGAGGGTATGAGATGGATCTGGCAGATAAAGTTAAAGATAATCCCAAGAGGTTCAATAGCTAGTGATGGCTAGGGATAGAATAGGTCCCATTAAAAATCAGCCTGGCCATCTATGTGTGGAGCCACAGGGGGATGGTGGAGATTTTTAATGAATATATCTCCTCAGTGTTTACTGTGGAGAGAATCATGGATGCTAAGGAAATAAGGGAAACAAGTGGGGATGTTTTGGACCACAAACATGTTACCAGAGGGGAGGTGTTTACAGTATTAAAGAGCATTAAGGTGTCTAAATCCCCTGAGCCTGATCAAGTCCATCCTCGCATGTTGCGCAAGGCTAGGGAAGAAATTGCAGAGGCCCTTGCAATTTGGTCCATATCCCTCTAAACCCTTCCCATTCATGTACCTATCCAAATTTTTTTTTTAAATGTTGCTATTATACCTGCCTCAACCATTTTCTCTACCAGCCCATTCCATATATGCACCAATCGTTGGGTGAAGAAATTACACCTCAGGTCATTCTTAAATCTTTCCCCTCTCACCTTAAACCTATGCCCTCTAGGTTTCAATTCCCCATCCCTGGGAAAAAAGACTATATGCATTCATCATATCTATGCCCCTCATGATTTTATACACCTCAATAAGTTCACCCCTCATTTTCCTAAATTCCAAGGTATAAAGTCCTACCCTGGCCAACCTCTCCCTACAACTCAGGCCTACTAGTCCTGGCATCATCCTCATTAATCTTCCTTGTGCACTTTCCAGTTTAACTATGTCTTTCCTATAACAGGGTGACCAAAACTGTACACAATACTCCAAGTGCGGCCTCACCAATGACTTATACAACTGTAACATGACGTCCCAACTCCTATACTCAATGCCTCGACCAATGAAGGCCAGCATGCTAAATGCCTTCTTCCCCACCCTGTCCACCTGTGACGCTGCTTTCAACAAACTATGTACTTGTACTCCTAGGTCCCTCTGTTCCACAACATTCCTCAGGACCTTACCATTTACTGTATAAGTCCTACCTTGGTTTGACTTTCCAAACTACAACATCTCACACCTACCTGTATTGAATTGCATTTACCAATCCTCAGCCCACTTCCCCATCTGATCAAGATCCCTCTGTAACTTTTAATAACCTTCCTTGTTATCAACAATACCTCCTAATATTGTATCATCCACAAACTTACAAATCATGCCTTGTACATTCACATCCAGGTCATTTATATGAATAACAAATAACAAAAGTCCCAGCACCTGACCTCTGTGGCACACCACTAGTAACAGGCCTCCAGTCTGAGAAACAACCTTCAACCATCACCCTCTGCTTCCTATCATCGAGCCAGTTTTGAATCCAATTGGAACTAGCTGAGTGGGCACCAATGGTCAGCATGGACCAGTTTCGGCTGAAGGACCTGTTTCCATGCCGAATTACTCATGACTCTATGGCTCTACTTGCCTTCCTAACTGACGATTTCTGACCGAGAGTATTCACTGTAGCCACAGTCATTCTGAACATTTCCACTGTTCGCAAACCTCCACAATATACACTCCAGACTCACAAGCTGCTCTGCCATAGCCAAGATTATTCAGACTTATTATGTTTGCATCCATACCTCAGTTTGTTGTTAATTCCAGGCTTTTTCACTCTATTTTTGCTACACTTTTCCCATCTCTGTGATTATTCTGTGCATGAGCAAATATTACGTAGTCTTCAGAAGATAATAAATATGAATGCATATCCAATTAAAATACTGTGTGTACTAGATAAAAAGTTGATGTTGCTTGGGTTCTTAAAACAATTGGTGGATGAAGAGTAAAGGATTCTCAATTAAGAACAAAAAAATCAGAAACCTTGTGAAACAAAGTTGAATTAACTATAATCAGAAGACTAGTTGAAACAACGTTAAGCACATAGATCTCCTTCAGTTGTAGAAAATACAAGGTGAATAAGATAACTTACCTTTTTGACACTGATTCCAGAAGATCTTCAGCTCATAATTTTGGATAAAGCACACAAACCATTAATTTAAAGTCATGGGTAGTTGATCCACTTTGTGCTACTACCTTTGTTTCTGAAAATTTATGGGTTAAGAAATCAGTGTGATGTTGAGGAGATGGATTGGTTCGAATGAAGAATTCAACATGCAAGGAGCACCACATAAACTACAAGTTGTAAAAGATATTCTTAAACAGACAGTTTAACTGTGATTTGAAACAAAAGTCTTTCATGCACTAAGCCAGGCTATGAGTCAGTGTGGAAAATTGTCACACTGTATTTCAATTTTTCTGAAGGAGGAGAGAGTAACCTACGTCAAATATTTCCAAATTTCATTGTATTTCCTTCTGCTGCCAGATGAACTATGAAGCAACTCAACAAGCTGGAATGTGTGACTTTTATTTGTGGTTTAATAGTCAAAAGTGGTTTATCTGCCTGTATGGGTTTATCTGGGTTTATCTGCCTGTAGAATTGTATTTCCCTGTTTTACAGGATTGCAAAACTTGTCAGTTAAACACTAACAGCTGGGTCTTCTTCATTTAGACATGACGTAAAATCACTTACTACAATATTTAGAATAGTAAGCATTGCCACAGACAGCCTTGAACAAGTCTTAAATGCACTGTTCATTTCAAGTCATTAAATGTTGGTGTTATATTTTCAATTTGTTTTTAACTAGTCTAGCAATTTTTAATTGAATTCCAAGCAAGCTTCAAATTGTCTCAATAGCAAGAAAAATGTAAAGGAGAATTTGAGCAAATCTACACTCCTACTTAATATGTAGATGTTGACCTCTCATTATGTAAGTTGCTTAGCTGACACAAGACACAGGTCATTTTCAGCATTGACTATTTCAACAAAGAGAAGTCCTCACCCATTGTGAAGTGTTGTTATTTTTTACAGCTACTGTGCTTGGAACATGAATGCTATCAGGCAGCACTTGTGCCTTTGAAACCTACAGGAAGGATCTGATTCACTGCGATAGACACCCTCCTGATGTCTAAGGGAAACAGAATGATATAATCCAGGTTAGCACTTAACTTGTTTCCCTCCTTCCTGAACTAATCTAGGGGCAACAAAGAAATCCATGGAGTTCATTCATCACAAAATGCTTTGCATCCAAGTTCCTAAAACATGCCTACAGGGCCCTGCTAAAGTTGACTTTTTTTCTTCTGGAATGTGAGTTACACGGCGTGTTGTCACCTAACTGTGAACTGCTTATCATTTAGGTCTGCTTTTAAACTGACTGCTCAGTAAACTTGATTTGCTGTTTTTAGCCAAACTTTTACAGTTTTTTAGTCTGATATTTTCTATAAATAGTGAAATTGGGAGAGTATACAGGGATCCTGTATTATTTTCAGCACGTAACATCATTGCAAAGTAGATTCAGTGTTCACCTTAAGTGTCTGATCACGCTTACATGAGTGCCTTGGGACATTTTCCCATGTTAAAGGTGCTATGTAGATGTAAGTTGTTTAAAACACAAAGATACAGTTCCTGATAATGCAAACTTGTTGGTGATACTGAAAATATATAAACCAATGATGACAAATCTGTAACAATATGTTACGGGTCATGTGCAATTCAAGGCCGTTACGGATTGCATACAAGACATTTTTCAGAGAGGTAAAGGTCACATAGCCCAGTGTGGATGGGAGAGTGAGCCCAGGAGGGAGGGGAGAGTGAGCCCAGCGGGGAGAGGAGAGTGAGCCCAGCATGGAGGGGAGGGTGAGCCCAGTGCAAAGTGGAGAGTGAGCCCAGCGGGGAGGGGAGAGTGAGCCCAGTGGGGAGGGGAGAGAGCGAACCCAGCACGGAGGGCAGAGTGAGACCAAGGGGAGGGGAGAGTGAGCCCAGAGGGGAGGGGAGAGTGAGCCCAGAGGGGAGGGGAGAGTGAGCCCAGCGGGGAGGGGAGAGTGAGCCCAGTGGGGAGGGGACAGTGAGCCCAGTGGGGAGGGGAGAGAGTGAGCCCAGCGCAGAGGGGAGAGTGAGCCCAGCATGGGGGGGAG